TTTCTATTTTATGATTGATTCATATGATTCATATTAACGAAGAACTTAATTTTTATATATATATATATATGTATGTATGCTATTCGGTGGTTTTTTTTTTTTTTTTTTTTTTTTTTTTTAATCATGATTATTGTCATGCTTTGTTACAGGGAAGGAAAAAAAGGGAAGGAAAAAAAAAGAGAGAGAAGAAAAAAAAAGGAGGGGACATAAAATAAAATAAAATAAAAGAAACGCAGTTGTGTTCAGCAATAACGTCGATTAGCCCAACATTGCGAACAATAATATTCATTTTCTGGTGAGCCAAAAAATTGGCAATGTTCACTGCGACATTCCTTTACGCAAGCCTAAAAAGAACAAACAAACAAACAAAAATAAAAAAAAAAATAAAAAAAAAAAAAAAAAAAAAGAACAAGAAAAATCGAATATAAATACATATTTTATATTAGTATTCCATTTTCTTTTTAATTTGTAAATTTTTTTTTTTTTTTTTTTTTTTTTTTTTTTTCATATAAATATATATATATATATCAAAATAAAATGTCAACTATATATATATATATGTATGTATGTACGCTCTATTTTGCAAAGACATACCCGCAAATTACTATTCCATGACTGTCGATCACCCTTTTCAGGCGACGTATGATCATTATAGAATGTTGATCTATGAGAAAGATAATTGATATATACTTTTCAAGAACAATGATAACAACAGCAATATAACTATTACTACTATTACTATTACTACTATTAATAATAATAATAATAATCTAATAACGATTGATTTTAATATACATTATTATTTAATGTACCTTGAAAGATAAAGCGTACGATCTTTATTTGGATGCGTTGGTAATAATTTGCTGACACTTGCATGACTACCATGATCACTCGCAGCATAGAATTTTGATTTCCCTGCACCATAATTCATTTCACAACCAGTTTCGTCCAATTGATGATCTTGAACATACCTAGAACCAATGAGAAAAATATTATTGATTAAGATTTATAAAGGAAATTAGAATTAATTAATTAATTAATTAATTAATTAATAATTAACCTGTCATGGGCACATTCGAGATAATTTTGTAACATCTGATCGACATATTGATGACGTCTACTTTTCATTTTGATGCATAACAATCCTTCGGTAGAATTACAACCGCTTGAAGACGATGGCGGACTTTTTGGCCTTTTTGCGAACCAAAATTTTTTACTCATTGATTTACCAATCGATCCAAATTGTTTAGCAACCCCTAATAATTGTTTCGCTGTCTTCGACAAGGAACCATCTGTATCGGACAACCTATCTATATCCTCCGACGTGAAATTAACATATTCACAGTCTAAATAATCTCTTATCAATATCTCCATCTATATTTGTGTGATAGATTTTAAAAAAAAGAAAAAAAACACAATGATTTGTAAACCTATTTAAAAAAATCACATCAACGATATATAAATGTTATAATTAAATTGATATTGTTAATTATTACCGTGCTTTGTTCGCAGGTCAATAAATCACGTGATCCATCGATCCAATCCCAATCAGGACCAGGATCTACAGCGAATAAAACTGGTAATATTTGACCAGTGTCAGGATCAACCAATGGTATACTAACACCTTCATTATTATCATCGCCAATGTCATTATGTCCATGTACGGTAACCAACGGTGAAAAATGTGCAGAATGATAAGCCAATAATAAAGGAGTTCTATGACAATTAGCAGATGATATTTCTAATGGTAAATATACACCACCAAATGGTATTGGAGCCAATGCCACTCCTTCTGCATCTTTTAACATTGTTTCCGCAATTACTATTATAGGTCTTCTTAAAACATGTGCCAATGCCAATACGTGTACCTGAATCAGATGATTTACAAGGTTAAAAAAAAAAAAATAAATAAAAGAAAGAAAAAAGAGAGAGATAGAGAGAGAGAGAGAGAGAGAGAGAGAGAGAGAGAGAGAGAGAGAGAGAGAGAGAGAGAGAGAGAGAGAGAGAGAGAGAGAGAGAGAGAGAGAGAGAGAGAGATAAGAAATTATATTACAAAATATATAAATGTTATTATATTTTTTTACTTCTTCAAGACTTTGATAAGAAGTGGCCGTTTGATTCCTAATTATTGGTGATGCCATATCTACTATTGTTTGCCATTCTGATAACCATTCGGCTTCCGTATAAGACAAACCTGAGACAGCATTTAAACCCATCTGACGCCATTTCCATCTTCTATTATAAATTATAAAGTATAATATTTTAATTAATATTTTTCTTACCACATATACATACCATACATACATGTGTATATATATATATATATATATGTTTATATATTACTTTATATGTTTATATGTTTATATAATACTTATATATTAAGTTGGAAACTATGAAACGGGCGTTGAATGAAAATAAATAACTAAACAAAAATGCCCGTTTCATAGTTTCCAATCTAATATATATATATATATAAATTTTTACATACCTAAAAAGAGCATGCCGATATTCTCCCTTGTTCAATGTATTATGCAAAGTTTCTCTCAATGTAAGTAATCGATCATGGAAACCCCACATACCAAGTGAAGCTGCATGAAGTAAACAATTGCCATCACCTGATGTTGCTAATGGCCATAGAACTCTGTTACTACCATTTTTACTGGCGCACCACCAATTCAATCTACCTGCCGCTTCTAACGAGGACATACATCCACCTTCTATTAAATCCTTTTCCAAAAATTGACGAAACGAATCTATAAAAAAAAAAAAAAAAGAAAAAAAAATAAATAAAAAATAAAAAGGGAATAAATTGATTGCAATGATATAATTATGATTAATATTAACGTTAATATTAATACCTGGATATACCGATAAGTCTGGTAAAGAAAATGTAAATTCTGGCATATCCAATGATCCCAATGTCGCAAATTGGGAACGTGCATATGAAACTATAGCGGCATTTTCTGTAGCTCTAGAAATTCCTCTTGCCAATTTTTTGCTACCACCATTAACATTTTCCAATCCATTATTTGATGTTGTCTCTTTCTCCAAACCATCATACATGGATAAACCACCGCTCATAACACTTATTGTCTGAAATTTGAAAGAAGCCAAAGAAAAAAAATGCAAAAAAAATGCAAAAAAAAAAAAAAAATTATACCCTCATTAACGTCAAACTTATTACATAATCGATTTACTATGGTCGAATTAATATTATAATCTTTTATAAGTTATACGATTATTTCAATTATTATCGTTTAAAATATAACAATGATAAAATAAATTCACATGTAAAGCAAACTTTTTTTCTTTTTCCTTTTCTTTTTTCTTTTTCAAAATGACATGACAATAAATATACTTCTAGTTCAGATGATTACAAATGTATCCACACACACACACAAACACATATATATATATATATACATATGTAAATATATGTGTATATATAAATTTATAAAAATAGGACAAGGTTTTGGTTGTCGGAATGCATTAATAAAAATCCAGTCATAAATGTGGTTACCATCACGTTCATCCACAAAATATATATATACGTGTATTACGTTGGCGTAACTTATTATTAAAACTAGTTATGAAAAAGGAAAACATAAATGCATTAGTAGATGACACATTCATATATATATATATATATATATATATATATATATATATACATACATACATACATATATATATAAATATTTTTTGTAAGTAGTTTTAACGTCGTATATATAAATATATATGTCCAAGTTCGTAATATATATATATATATATATATATACGTAACAACGCATTTGAGTTTTCAAATTAAACCTTACACTGTCTGCTATTTGTCTTTCTCTTTCTCTCTTTCTATCTTTCTATCTCTCTATCTCTCTCTTACACACACACACACTTTCACGTATATTGAATTAGTGCAGCGAACCGTGATGGTTTCGACTTATTACGTAGCTTACGAACGGGCGTCCCTTAACCAAACTTTTTTCGACAATTTATTCATATTATTTTACTATGCTAATAATATTAATCGCGAGGAAAAGAAAAATATTAATCGCGTATTTTTGAATAATGAACGTGGAGGAAAAAGGAGAATGAGAGAGAAAGAGGAAAAAATAAAAATCAAGAAAAAAAAAGAAAGAAAAGGTTAAGGAAAAAACAAAAGGAGTGGAAAAGAAAAAAGATGGACGAATGGATGGACAGATGGATGGATAAACGAAGAAAATCGAGATGTTTAAAATCGTACGTAAATATACCACTTCGATAGTTAAGCTTCGCGGCTACGTAGCCTACTGCACGAAATTCTGTGAAAATAGTTCTAATGTATACTGGCCGGTAATGATGGTGGGGATTGGCCAGGGACATGGTGGGGAGTTAGAAAAGAAAGGAAAGAGAGGTGAATATATAGGAAGAAGGACCAACGGAAACAAGATATCGTCTGTTGGTCGCGTGCGGTAATTTTTAACTGGTCACGTGGTATATTTATCACGATAATGATACAATACATAAAATTTTATTTATCTCGATATACTAACGCACACACACACACACACACATATACACACACGTATATATATAAACTTTTATTTTACGAACGTATAAGTGTCGACGGAATTATTAATATAACCTATACAAAATAAAAAAAGAAGAAATACAAAAGGGAATAAATAACAATAACCTTTAAATATATTTATATACGTACATATATATATATATATATGTATGTTGTATATAAATGTAAAATGATCGTAAAAATGATTTCACTATAGATAAGCGTCCTCCGTGAGAAGATATGGAAATGAGATGAGAACGCTCGAATAAGACACTTTAGCGTCCATCTTGATAATGAAGATGGCGTCCACTCGGCACGCACCCTATAGCTATCTTGATAACAAAGATGTCACTCGATATAACTGTTCGACGGCCATCTTGATAATGTATAGATGGCGCTGTATATGTTCGACGATCATCTCAATAATAAAGATGGCGCTCGATACATCGATAGGCAACCATCTCGATAAGAAACAAACATGGCGCTTCGATACATTCGTCGTCCATCTTGTATCGGGTTTCCCTTCTTATCTATATTTCCTTTCGTTCTAACTTGTGACAAGACACACGTATAAGAATATATAGAGAAATAATTTTCTCTGTGTTTTATATACGTGAATATCCATGTAAAGTCACCCTTTTGTTCACTCGTAGTGTGGTACTTTGTCCGTTCGGTTTCTCTTGGGTTAAAAAAGGAGAGAAGAAAAGTGTTACTTACACTTAAGGATTTAACAGAAATAAGAAGGAGGGGAAGAAAAAGGAAGAAAAAGAAAAAGAAACAAAGAAATTGGGTTAAGTGAAGTAATTCTCCCGCAAAATAGCAACAGGTATAAAGCATGCTGATGAGGATGAAAGAATATTCGTTATATTTAATTATATTGGTATGTATAAATCTATTCGATAAATTTGGCCACGTAACCGGCTCCCAGGTTTTACATATTCGTGGTATACCAGTTTCAAAAAGTACACTTTATAATCCCGAGCGTGATTTCGAATGTCTCGATGGTAGCCTTTTAATACCGTTCAATTATGTCAATGATGATTATTGCGATTGCGGTGATGGTAGCGATGAACCCGGTACGTCTGCCTGTAGAAATGGTTCATTTTATTGTAAAAATTTTGGACACAAATCTATTTACGTACCATCTACGTGGGTGAACGATGGTATTTGTGATTGTTGCGATGGTACAGATGAATATTCCTCTAATAAACAATGCGTTAATAATTGTCATGATCTTGGTAGAGAGGCTAGATTGGAGGCACAAAAAGCTGAAGAATTAAAAAAGGAGGGTAATAAAATACGAATGGAAATGATTGGTAAAGGTAAACAGATTAAAAGTGATACGCAGGTACATTTAATGAAATTATGGGTAGATTATGAGGAAGCTACTAGGAATAAAAAGGAAAAGGAGATATTAAAAAGTCAAGCTGAAGAGAGAGAAACATTAGCTTTGGAAAAATATAAACCGGTTGAGCCAGAACAAATTCACACCGAAGAAACTATTGAAAAAGAAGAGATTGCAAAGTCAGAAGCTATGGATTATTTTAAAATGTTAGATTCTGATGATAGTAATACGGTGACAATAGCTGAATTACAGACCAGAGTTACATTCGATAAGGATCATAATGGTGTTGTAACCGAAGAGGAAGCAATGTACTTTTTGAATAATCAAAAGGAAATATCATTGAAAGAATTCATTGAAACAGCTTGGGGTAATATTAAACCATTTGTCATGCTTGAACAAGGTCAATCATTTTTATATCAACATTGTTATTATTTAAATAATCAAACCTTTTATTAATAATCTATTTAATTATTTCATATTATTTTCATTTAGGTATATTCCAACAACCAAAAGCCAAAGGAAAAGAGGAGAAGAAGGAAAAGGAAAATGTGGAAGAAGATGAGGAAGAGGAAGAAGAAGAAGAGGAAGAAGAAATAGAGGAAGAAGAAGAAAATGTAAAAGAAACTTTGGAGAAAGTACATAACAAAGAAGAACATGATAATGTCGAAGAAGATGATGTTTCTACGGAGGAACATGAAAAAGAAATTGAAGAACAAGAATCTGAGATACAATATGACGAAGAGACT